CAGTAGAGACTCTTTGGACAACAACCTACCTATCTGAGTTGTCACGAACTCATCAGAGAAAAGGCTGTACAAATACGTGCTTTTCTCACCTGCCATCTCTCTTCTCACTTTACTCCCGACTCAGTTTTGATTTTCAGGAATGTTCTGGCTGCCTGCCCTGGCGCTGAACTCCTCAGGGCGGGGCAGCAGGCTGCTGGGTGCAGGGCTCCTGACTCTGGAATGTACTTCCTCATAGTGGTGCCAACACCCAAACCTGGCAGACCCTAAACACAATGGCTTTTAAGCTCCCTGGCATTTACTATTTCTGACCGAGAGATGAATACAAGACTTTTTAAACTCAAAACTGAAATGCACATTAAGTAGAGTAGTCTAGGTATACTGAATATTTTAACTTCAGAAAAAATAAAAAGAAAGTCCTCTAAAGTAAAAAGTCATGTAGTGTAAATTACTGATACAACTGAACAGAAAATAATGATTTCCTTTCTATTATAACTTGTTTTTCATTATACTTAACTGTTAAATGAGGGATGAGAAAATATGCTGATAATTACAAAACCTATAGTTCTAAAATTGTATTTTAGAAAGAATCTTAAGACAGAATTTAGTCCATAAAATTAACAGCACGATTTATCACAGTAAAAGAAAACTATCTTATTTAAACTATAACTACATTCTTCCAAATGCAAAATAAAGTCATAAAATAAATTCTTGTGCTTTAAAATAGCTAAAAATCAGCTTTCATTGTAATTATCAAAATTTTAAGTAGCTGTGGCAAGGTAATATTTTTGTTTTTCTTTGGCCAGTAAGAAAGTTTTTTGAACCTTTTTTTTTTTTTTTGCCACGCTGGAAACCAAACCCAGGGCCTCACTCATGCTAGGTGAGCACCGTACCACTGAGCTACATGCCTGGTCCACTGAAAACCTTTTAATGGGAGCTGTTTCTTTCCTGCCCAGCTACCCACGAGTGAATCCCAGGAGCAGGAAGCTTGAAAGAGGCTGCTCTGGAGCAGCAGGCGTGGTGGGAAGAGGGAAGGGAAGGTGGCAGGGTGGTCTCTCCAGGCTCCTCTCTCTCACTCTCAGAGCGGCTCCACACAGGCTGCCCACCTTCACAGGCCTGCTGGGCTTGGGCAGGTAGGTAGCCTGGGGGCACCGCTGCGATTGACCAGGTGAACACCAGAGGGCCTGCTGCAAATACTCTGCTCTGAGTTAGCACCTCCCACACTCACACCCCTGCCACCTTTCGAGTGGGGGCCAGCACAGTCTGGCTCTGCACCAGCCAGGGTCAACAAAGGCTCAATGCAGAATACATCTGAGATAATAAGAAAACATAACATTTGCAAGAATGGAATAAAACTGACCCCAGCCCTATGACATCCTTTATCTGTAGCCAGCAGCAACCACAGCCCTGGATCACTAGGCACTTACTAAATGGTTCTTTGGTTTCCCAGGATGGTCACTCTGTCATGCGTGGGTCACCTACAGTTTCCCAGAGCGCATCACAGTACTGTGGAGTGGGGGCTTCAACAGTTAAGCTAAAAGCATCCAAAGTCAAAGTGAAACATGCTTATAGTAAAGTCTTAGTACTTCAACACAGCATTGTTTAATCCTCTTTTTAGAAGAAAAATGACGGCTACTCACATACATATAGGTATTAAAATATACATATATAATAAGTCATGAATGCTTAAGGATATTACTACCAGGGTACTCACTTTTATTATGGTTTTCAAATTGTAAACACTTTATAGACACAAGAATTAAAGACTAGCTAAATAAATTATGTCATATCTATACATATATTTATACAGCAGAATAGCACGCAGACATTAAAATGGTGCGTTATAAGAACATTTCAAGATGCAGAACATATCCATGACATATTAAATAAAAGAGTAGATTACAAACTAGTGTACCACTTTTGTGGAAATTATATACAAATGCCTAAGATACAGTGCTACTACAAGTAGATGGTATTCAATGTAAGAGGGTTGGTTGTTTTTTTGCTAGTTTGTTTTTTTTCCTGGGTGGAAAGGCTCCAAGTTTTGAAAGTTTCATAAGGGCAATCATGTATTTTTGTAATAATGTATAACATGCGCTACATTTTTTTAAAGACCACATAGCCAGGTGTAGTGGCACACACCTTTAATCCCAGGAGGCTGAGATAGGATCACAACTTGATCACAAGTTCAAGCCTACTCTGGGCAACTTAGCAAAATCCTGTCTCAAAATAAAAAATAAAGAGGCCTGGGGATGTGACTCAATGAGAAGACCTTGGGTTCAATCCCTAGTATTAAATAAAAGAATAAAGTACCCACATGAAGCTTGGAGGTATCCTCAGAGAACACCTATACCATAAGACATACCTATAACAGCCTCATTCCCGACTGAAGAAGGGATGGGTTTTAATATGTTCAACCCGAGAGAACATGCTGCAAGGGCCCTCTTCACATCCTCTATGGCATGGCAGAATGGAACCCGGCAGGCCGGTCTCAGGTGGAGTCAGGATGAATGGAACACTGTCCGGGTTACTCTGTACAAACTGTATTTAGCTGGATCTATGTACACCATTAGAAAAAACTCTGTCTCTAAGTGACACTTCTAGTATTTAGATCTAGAGAGTGTCCCCCCCAAGGAAGTGGGGCAGAGGAAGATATTTTCATAAGAGCACATGAGCAGGAAGAAAAGGGGGGAAATCAGCAAGGGTATATACAAAGAGTGTGTGTGCTTCTGCATCACAGTGGAATGAAATGTTGACCTGCAGCAGCGAATGCATTTGATATTCTCAGTTGTTCTCTAAACAGTTTTATAAAGCACACATGGTATTTCAGAATACCATAGGATTTAAGAGTTTGCTTATTATAACCATGGAACATCTGAACCAAATGGAATTTAAGACTGCTCATTGAAAGAGAAATACAAAATCTTAAGATAAAGTATAAGACTAGGCATTAGAAGTCAAAATTTTTAGCCCAAGACACCTACTTATTATGTAATCACAGGAAAGTTCTCTGAGTGGCCTTGAATTGACCCCGTTCTCCTTCCTTCTTGTCTGCAGTTCTTACAAACAACCATAAAATATGCTGGAAATGCCACATCCTGAGATAAGGAGGAACTGCCTAATGTGCCGCAGCCCTTATTCCTGTCCCTCGTGGGAATGTCACATCTCGAGTTAAGAAGGAACTCCCCCGGGCAGCCCAGACTTTGTTCCTCTCCCCTTGGAAGCAGGAGGTCTGTCAAAGCTATAGCCCAGTAAGTCAGGTGGCCTCTTAGGTCTATAGCCCCCAGCATTCTGGGGTCCCTCATGTACAGTAGAAGTAAGGCATGCTCAGTCTCCAACGTCTGCCCCAGGCAACTTTACCGAGCCCCCTGGGAATCAGGGTGAAGGATGGGGGGGTTCAATGGATTCTAGTCTCCTGTCCCTTGTACCAAACTGCATGTAATAAATCTTCACATATCTGATGTGTGAATGCTTTCTGTCTCCCTGTACTCAGACCAGCGGTAACCAGTGCACACTGAACCCATTCCATAGTAATCTAGATCAAGGGATCTGTGAGCCCTCAGTTTCCTCACCAACCAAATGGAGGTAACAATAGAACTGACGTGACCAGATGATGTACTGCACATTTAGATCATGTTTTATTTTTGTCACTGCCGACCACCAGAAAGAATTGCTCACTCTCAGTCCAATGACAAGAGGGAACCTACCATCAGATTTAATTTGATTTTAGAAATAATAAGTGTTACTTTTGCACTAAAAGTGGTGTGACACACATATTTTCTTCAAAAGCTTTGCATAAAGATTAAATGAAACTATGGATATCATAAAGCAATGTCAATTCTCACATGATGATAATTACTGTCATTAAAAGTTCCATTCACTTTACACAATGTGATAGAAAGACCCAGGAGACCTGGGTCTCTGTCCCAGTCCCACTGAGTGTAGCAGCTGGGACCATGTCTTCCTCATCTGTAAAATGGGGACATACTCTTTGCCTTGCCTCATTTCATAATGAAAGGGCTCTGAAGAGTGTTAGACAAAGATGATAAGTAAGCCACCGACCAAAGTTAATGCACTGCTTCGCGGTACAGTTCTGTCCCATTCAGAATTTTGAGCTTTGAGCTTTGAATATACAGGTTAAACTCATTGATTAGGAAGTCTTATTACAGAAATAATCCGCATCAGAAACAAAAAAATTTGAATAAGCCAAATGTCCACCAGCAGTAGAACAGATACGCACTAGAATACATACACAGCATGAAAAATAAATGTACTTAGTAACACTATACACAATAAAGACAAAAAGCACCAAGACACAAAAGAATATACACCATGACTCATTCATGTAACAGTAAAAACAGGCAAACTAACTTGTTCAGGGAAAACCTACATAAACAAGAAAAATTACAGTGAAAAATAAAGAGATGATTATCACAAGTTAAACAGGCCTTTTCTCTGATTGGGGGGGGTAAGATGGTAAGAGTATGATCAGGGACGTTCCCACCAGGGACATTCGTGGGTATTGGTTGTTTTAAGCTTTTTGTGCATATTTACACATATGTATGCTCACCTGCACATACATATGACTTTTTGTGTCTAGGTTGTTTCCTAATAAAAGATTTTTTTAAAAACCACTGAATTCTGTACAAATGATGTAATGCCAACAGTGCTGCTTTTTTAAAAAATGACTTAAACTAACAGTTTGCTTAGATTTCAATTTCAGGTATATCAAAGTAAAAAATTATTCAGCTGAGATTTTATTTGAAATAAAACCCTTGCAAACAACAAGTGTGTCATTTCTCAGGTCATGGTGATTCAAGTGACTATGTATCTAATTGCTAATAATTACAGATTGTTTAGGTGTTTCCAATGGCAAATTCAAAATCCCAGTATTAAGAATAAAAAGACTCGAGGGCCACAGTTCACCCCCTGAGCACATCCCACACCATCACCTGAAAGAAAAGACCAGGTTCCACGGAGGACTTGGGGGCACCATGCCTTACCAGCAGTCTGTGTGTGTGCTGCTCTCTTAGGGTAAGTCTTGCTTCGACTTCTTGCCACATTCTGATCAGGCCGGGGAAGTTGGATAGAAAGATCTCGATTCATCTGCAAAGCTGTCCTGCCACTAGAAAATGAACATTTTTAATTAGCAAAGGCAAAAACACTCAGACACAAAATTAAACAGCTCATTCAGGAATATCCACAAAGAAGAAAAACACAAAACTCAACTGGCCATAAGCACACAGAAGGTTTTAATTGATTCTCACTGTAATATTAGTCAAGGAAGTAGCATTAAATTCTAGGGGCATTTTATGTTAGGTAGAACGAAAAATCTTTCTGAAGGAGAAACAGGAAGAAAGGGTTTATTAAAAGAGGATTAAGCCAGGTGTGGTGGAGCACGCCTGTAATCCCAGCACTCAGGAGGCTGAGGCAGGAGGATCGCTGTGAGTTTGAGACCAGCCTGGGCCACACAGTGAGTTCCAGGTCAGTCTCAACTACATAGTGAGAAGCTTTCTCTAAAAAAAAAAAAAAAAAAATTGGAGTTACATGATTTCAGCAGAATGATGAACTAGAAATAAAGGTTGCTGGCAGTCTTCTGCTCTACAGCTAAATGGTAAAGAAACCATGGCAAATGCACTAAATTAAAATCCAGGTGGATTAAAGATCTAAATATTAAAACAGAAACACTAAACTTGCTGGAAGGTAAGTTAGGCAGAACTTTGGAAGACATTGGCATAGGAAAAGGCTTTATGAACAAATCCTCAGTAGCACAGGAACTAGCAGAAAGAATCAACAACTGGGATCTCGTCTTATTAAAAGGCTTCTGCACTGCAAAAGAAACCATCAACAGAACCAAGAGACAACCTACAATGTGGAAAAAATCTTTACCAGCTGCTCCTCAGACAAAGGACTATCATCTAGAATATATAAAGAACTCAAAACAATCAGTCCCCTCAAATATAACGACCCAATTCAAAAATGGGCATCTGAAATGAACAGACATTTCTCAGACAAAGAAGTAAAAGCAGCAAGTAAATATATGAAAAAATGTTCCACATCACTGCTCATTTGAGAGATGCAGATGAAAATAACACTGAGATTCCACCGCACCCCACAAAGAATGGCGGCTATCAAGAAATCACACAACAACAAATGTTGGCGGGGTTGTGGGGAGAAAGGAACCCTTCTCCGTTGTTGGTGGGAGTGCAGACTGGTGCAACCACTATGGAAATCAATATGGAGATACCTCAAAGAGTTAGGACTAGAGGTTCCATTTGACCCAGCCATCCCTCTGCTGGGCATCTTTCCAAAAGAATTAAAAGAATCATATCACAGTGATATATGTGCACCTATGTTTATAGCAGCACAGTTTGTAATAGCTAAAAGTTGGAAACAGCCCATTTGCCCATCAGTTGGAAACTGTATAAAGAAGATATAGTTTTTCGATAAAATGGAATACTACTCAGCCATAAAGAATGAGAAATTAGATTCATTCATAGGAATATGGATACATTTTGAGGATATGCTCCTAAGTGAAATAAATAAGTCACACATGTGTAAATACCGAATAGTTTCCCTGGTGTGAAATACTATAATAGTACATAAGATCCTAATGAGATAATTAACAATGTGAAATAGGAAGAAAAAGGCTGAAGGTGTAGGAAAAGTGGGAAGGGTAGGGGAAAGGGAATAAGGGAAAAGAAAAAAATATGAGAAAATGGAAATAAAGTGTTTGTAAATGGGGAGGGGAGGAAGGGGTGAAGGGAGGGCAGGGACAAGGGGAAAAATGAGAACCAAGACCTGTCATGTAAAAGTACAAGATCTCAATGATGAATGTAACTGTACTGTATACCTAAAATGTACCAATAAACTCAGTAAAAAGAAAAAAAACCCATGGTGACAAAAAAATAATAAAGAATTAAATTTATCACTTAAATGATTAAAAACAAATCACAAGACAACACTTCCACATGACAGTCCACATGGTGTACTTAGAGAGAAAACTGGAAAGCATTCCCTGCAGGACCCAGTAGTGTGATTTTACCCTAAGCCCCACCTTGGCACAACCAGCCATTCATTCTGCCCTCCTCACCTAGCAGGACATGCACCCAGGAAGATCAAAAGCAGTCAGTCCTACAGCTTTCTCTGGGTGGACTAACCTTCTCACGTAATTTTCCTAAGAAACTGCATAAACTCACATGCTAGATTTCAGCGAACGTTCGTTCATCTTACTACAAATTCATCTCACAAGTGCTGAATTTGAGCCAGTGAGTGACCTGGATTGCATGAAGGAGGGTCTCACGGAGATACAGGAAAAACGCATTTCTATATGTCTCGTTTGCTCCACTACCAGGAGAACTACCTATGAGAGATAATGAAGTCTTTTAATGACCTCAAATCTGATCCGCCCTACATTTATAGGATAATTATTAGTGAAGATCCTCTCAAACAAGATTAGACTTATAACATGAAATTAAGCTCTTATGTTTCCGTGAATGTTTCCATTCCTCACTATCCACTTTTTATTAAAAATAAAGATGCCTGCAACAGTCTCTAAAAAAAAAGGGTTCCTCATCAGGCTAAGGGAACGCTAGTTGATATGAGGAACCATGAGAGTAAAGGTGCCAAGTCCCATCGGCGAGAGTAATTCATGTTCAATAGTTCACAGGAATGGAAGACAAGGAACAGGCCGTGGCAGGCTTTCTTTCCCTTGAAACTTCATTATTTTTTAAAAGGTATACAATGTAACATACATTTCTGAAAAGCTAAAAAACATTCTATAGAAAGAACAAAATTCTATTATAATCAAGGGTTTGGCGTATAAAGATAAGATCTGACATTAGACTTTCTTATCAGAAAGGCTTAGGCACTGTGCATTACCTTGCACAAAGAAAGAAATATCTGCTATAAAAGTATAACCCAATATGCTGACCACTAAAGCATTTCGCAATGATATTGTTAAGTGTTATTCAATTTTCCCTCGTGGTTTCTCTCTCAGGAACAGAGGAGAAATAAGAAAAGTCATAAGATTAATGAGACTAAGGTCCAGAAACATAAACTGATCTGCCACAGGCTGCGCAGGGCCATGGACTAAAACAAGCTTTCTGATCCTCAGCTGGCCAGTGTGGCACAGCTTGGTGGCATGGGAGAAGGGACAACACTCAGTCATTTGTTTAAGCAACAAGCCATGTCGAAAACATTGCTTTGCCTTTCCCTAGGTATGGGGTTTTAAGCAGCTTGTTTTTTAAAAATATCTGCAAATTCAGTTTTCGCATTTATATTATACTTCCACTTGTTCTATTTCCTAGCAGCAACAGTCTTCTACAGCATTCTGACTATTTCCTTGGGACAGAAAGCGATGAACAAGCACATGTGAGTCTAGCAGTGATGCTGACAGGAGCCCGCCTACAGCTCTGGTGGCTCCATGCTGTGAAATGACAAAGCTCCGTCTCCACTTCCCGCCTCCTTAAAACTCTAGCGTAAAGCCCCTTTCTCTGACAGTTCTGGCTCAAAGTGAGGAAAAGGATAAAGAACTAGGCTTAAATCCCAGGCTTGCCATTTTCTTTCATTATTTTTTTTGAGGGGCCTCCAAATTCTCATCTGTATAATCAGGGATATGATTGATACCTCCTCTGGCAGGCCACTGTCAGGATCAAGTAAAGTAGCACACGGGAAAGCACCTGGCACTAAAGAGATTCTCAGGAGAACTAGGTCTGTCTTCCATGCTTCACGAAACATAAGATCCCACTAAAGCTCCTTCAATTTAAGTCCAAGGAAGATGTCTGGGCTCCAAGGGGTGGGTGGGTTTCTCAGGCCTTACTCTTATTTTGGGAGTATAGATTTCACACAACTCATCCACTCATCTAAACCAGAAGTCCCTTACAAACAATAGGTAAGAACAAGGTCAATTTTTAAGGGACTCTTAAGGAGACAGCAATGCAAAACAAAATATTTAATCAACCAAAAATTTAATCAATTTCCTTTTCAGACCATTGGTTTTGGAAACACACACACACACACACACACACACACACACCCCACCCCATAGGACTCAGAATATCAGATTTCAGCTTAGCCTTTCCTCCCATCTTAATCATGAAATGTGATTTTTCCTGCATCACTAAAAATATCTGATTTTTTTCCTTCTTAGGTAATGATGTTTGCTCAAAAGGTATCAGAATCTCCCTGGCATTTTTGCAAACCCTAAAATGCAGGACAAAATGAACAGTAGAATTCTGTCTTCCTCTGCCATATACATGTTCACACACAACCACAAAATGCCAACGTATAACACATACACACTTATAAACACAGACAACATTTACACACTGCAGCTACTTGATATGCTGTTCTCTTTTCCCCATGCTCTGCAAGCCTGTAGGGTAAAGGAGAGGCTATCTGTATTCCAGAGCTCTACTCTTATTCCAAGATATCTCCAGATGTCTCAAAATAGACACATGATGCTGGTTCAAGGCTGTCTGTCATCTTCTGACAAGACAGTCTATACCTTTCATGACCATCCAGCAATCAGAGATCTCAGCTCTGCACAGGGGGGTGAAACAATACCTTTCTTCAAAGGTGGTATAAAGTTAGTGCTTGCTCCATTCAGATGTATAGATTTGGGTTTCATTAAGATTTACTAGGCAGTTAACATTAACCATGAAATCAGAACAGATTTAGCAGAGCCTCCAATTCTACAAAGGTTACCTTTAATTAGTTTCTTGGAAGAACTTATATTTAATATGCAAAATCCATTAACTGTCTAATAATAATTCCCAATAGCCACAACATTTGCATTTTGATACATCTGAGAAATCAGGTGCAGTTAAATATGTGGACTTCAACTACAGCACATGTTAAACAGCATAATTATAATTTTAATAGTATAAACACTAAGACAGATGCCTTTCACTGGCTCCCTTCAATAATAGGGAGATAGCTTTACACATTTTCTTTATAACTCCAGCAGTTTTAACCCACATAGAAGAGAACAGCCCAAATATTGGCTATTAGCTTCTTAATATGAAAGTGAATAATCTTTCCTGAAATTCCTCATAATTATATCACTAAGGAAGAACTCTGAGAACTTGGAGATACATATATGTGTGTGTGTATATGTATATGTGTGTGTGCATATATGTATATATGTATATATTTATATATATGTATATATGTATATGTGTATATGTATGGATGTGTGTGTATATATATATATATATATATATATATTGGTACCAGGAATCGAACTCAGGATATATATTTAAACATCAACAAATACTTTCATATAAAAACCAAGGATAGCTATAATACAATAACACTTAAGTTTCTCTTAATGACGAAATGAGCAAACCTTTCACTGAGTAACATATGCAGATGGATACACTGAACATTTAATATTAATCACACTTTTATCCAATTTTCTTTGGTCTCAATTAAAACCCCAAAAGGGTGTTATTAAAAAAGAGGAATTCAAATCTGCCACACTCTATTGCTCGACACTATTTTTATGCCTCCAATGGAAGCATTTCTTTAAGTGATGTCTCTGGTGGAACAGACAGACGAGCATTCCATCCCCTGTGTGGCACTTCTGCACCCCGCCTGGTTGTACAAGACCCAAAGGCCTGCCTCGCTGCCTCAATGACACTGCAGCTCTTTGAAGGCAGAGGTGGCTAGAGCTCACTCTTTGTGTTTCCGGGCTCCAACACAATGCACTGCATTTCACATGTCTCCCACTAAACAGAATGAATTGAAACAAAAATTCTTTTTCTCAAAATATAGCACTCACTCCTACTTATAGAAAAAGACACAAGCATCTACCCAGATGCAGGACAAGCAGGGTTTTGCCCTCTCAAACAGGCTAATTGTCTCAGGGTTAAAAAGGCTGCCATGTTAGACCACAAGAGTATCAGTTCTCCTCCACTGCTTAATAGCTGGTTACCTTGAAAAGTGACTTGGGCTCTCTGAGCCTTAATTTCCTCAAATTAATGGGCATAATATTACAGAAGACCATGAGGATTAAATAAGACAAAAATGGAAAATAGCAAAATAGTGGCATTTATAACTGCTCAATAAAATTAAAATATAGCTAGCAATACTACATAAAGGCTTTATACAAACATGTATAGTCATTTTGTGGCTCAAAACTACCCTTTGATGTACAATATCAGGTATATATTGTGTTACACAGTAGGTCACCTAAATGCCCTAAGAATACAATCAATCAGCTACTATTCAGAATATCTACTATTTATATTCACAGTACATAATTAGAAGTTATAACTGTATCAAATGAAATTCTGAAGGCAACAAGCCCTACTATGTTCCAAAAGTCCTACACTTAAAGCTAGTGCAGGCACTACTAAAGTTAAATCTGGAAAAACACTTTTTGTTGAAGAAGACAGCTTTAATGAACCATTATACTTAGAAAACACAAACACACTGAGGGAGAAAAACATTAAATCATATACTTCATCATGCATATATGTGGGCAGCTGAATTAAATATTTATTTACAGGTGCAAACCCTAAGGAAAAAATGTCACTTGCCTGTACCGGTGCTTATAACTTATGGATCCAAACTTGCTGAGTTTCCTTGACAATGAATTTGATTCAGTTTCTGGCATCCTAATTGATTTTAAAAACAAATGTAAAGAGTCATAAACAGATATTCATGCAACATCTGAGCCTCAAGTCATATAGAAACATAATGATGCAATGCTATTCAACAGAGCTAGTCAAAATATTTATTCTACATATTGGTAGGAAATAGCAGTCAGTTATTTGAAGGTAAGAGTGGAAACTCAACCACACCTTAGGATATTACATGTATACAATATCAAATAGTCATACATTGTGAAGAGTGTTACATTTATCACTGCCTTTCAAAGATTTAACTGTGAATAAACTTACTTTCTCCCCTTAAATTATCTTTGGAATTTTGTCACTATTCCGATGTACTCATGTTAAGGTTTTCATAGCAGGTTATCATATCTGATGTGGTAGTTCAATACACTCCACTACTTTGCATTTCAGGGTACTTTCAACTGGTACCACTATAGGGAGCGCTGCAGCCCAGTCCCACCAAACTGGAGGCAAAACCATTCCCCTGATATAAACTGCATAAAGGACACTGGTCATTTCTTAGAATATTTCTCCAATTGGAATATTCTACCTTATTTCAGTTAAAAACCAACACAAAACAGTAAAGCTCAATGGATGACCTGCTAAATTTTTTATTTATCTTTACTATGTAAGGGCACAGAACAATGAAAAAGGTGTGCCCACAGTGGAAAGGTGAATTTTCTATCCTCACCTTCTGAGGACAGCTACATGTAGTTTCTGGCACCCTATTCCTAATTTCCCAGGATATGACACCTTCTCCCTGTTATTTCTTCTCATATTCCTCTTTTGACTCTTGTTGTCCTCCAAATGCAAAGAGGGTCCAGAGCACGGTTTTTGGCTTTTTGCTTTGTGTCCTTTTTCATCTTTCCCACAAGTAACTTCATCCAGACTCTCTGTCTTAAATACTCATCTATATACAGCTTCTATTAGGGGAATGATACAGCCCACAAAGTAAGGGGGGTATTTAAGACAGAGAGTCCTATACACCCAGTTGCCTAACTACATCATCACTTAGACAGATCACAGGCATTTCAAATGTAATACATCCACAGAAGAACACTTAGTTTCTAATAATACCACATAGATACAAAATCCGCACTTTTATATAAAAGTAAAAAGAATTATCCCATCATTTTCTGTACACGAGCAAAAATGGTGTATCTGTAAGTATGCATGTGTGTGTGTGTGTGTGTGCGTGTGTGCGAGCGCACGTGCGTCTGTATTACTACATCCAGAGAACCGAGGCGATACAAATTAATAAAAGGGAAACACATTTAAATTCCTGCTTGTAGACAGAACAGGTTCTTGTTATAAAAACAAATGTGCCTTTCATGTGTGAGAACAAGTTTCCCAATAACGTACCTAAAAAACGTGTGATGTTCTACACTGCATTTCCAGAGATGCTTGCAAGCAGTTTTACTCCGAGCTTCAAAAAAGAATGAAGTTTCATTGCACTGAGAGAAAAAGACATAAGAGAATAATGAGTCACTGATCTGAACGCTTTTCAGATTACAGCCCTGTTAGGTAACAGAAATTCATGAATGCAGAGAGATTATTAACACATAAAACAAAAAAATAATTATTTCTTGGTAACTATTTTGGATGGTAGCACTAAAATCATTTTCTAATAATTAAAATCATAAAATATAAGTTCTGTCTAAATTTTAATGCAATCATTTATCTACTCTGTCCCATGACTCTGCAAAATATAGTAAAATGGCAAAAATCACTTCCTATAAATGGCTGTTACATGATAAATATTTGACTCTGTGAATATCACTCCCCAAAAAAGGAGATGCTTATAAATCTAGTCCTTAAGTGCATTATTTTCAGGTCATATTTAAACTGATATCTAAACAATCTCAGGAGAAACCACAGGGAATGACCACCACTGCAATATAATCTTGGCAAACTGGGTCACGAGACCTCTGTTTCATAGTTTCTCCATTCTGCATCACTATTGGGTAAATTAAACTACATAAAATGATAGATATAAACAGTCACATTATAGGTATACAGTAAATTTTAGGTATTATTTTAATCTAGTAACATCATTATTTAATATATTTAATACATAACAATAAGGGCATAGTAACAATAATCTTAATTTTATATAAGATATTATTTGTGACAATTAAAAATAAGCAAAATACAATATGAGTGCTACAGTAATAAACCAGAAGCTCTGTGAAGTTATATAATTCCTAATATAGTTTCAAATTTTAAAAACCAAACTCAAGTCTCAAGTAATGAGTCTGGAATGAGCTTCCTATGGACTCATAAACACAAAACTGTCAGCGCAGAGAAATAATTGAAATGATTTGTTCCCCACTTTTAGCATGGACAGAACACTTATATGCATGAAATTCCTACGTCCAAATGGAATGATGCTGCTTAACTTGGGAGTTTATCTGTAAAAATGAAAGGGTGTAACGGGAATAAAGCCAACATATTTGTATTACAGCAAGGCTAGCAACCATCACAAAACCTTCCGTGGTGGAATAAAAAATTTAGGTTTTTTAAGATTCTCAGTCTTTTGACTTGGATGCTACTATTAAAATGTAGTGAGTGGAAAAAAATTGGAAATTTAGATGGCAAAGAAATAGTAAGTTCAGGTTAGGGTATTTTGATTTGAGATTACCCATGGAATGCTGAGCAGGATAGTGAGCTCTCAGATCAAAGCTCAGGAGAGAGGTCACATCTACGGACACTGGCGACCTCACTGGAGAGTAAACGCGATAGCTCAGAAAGAGACTGCAGAATATTAACGGGAGAATTGCAGGAAAGATGCTGGTGAAGGTTCAGAAAGGGAGTCCATGAACCTGGAGACCACGGTGTCAGAGGCTAGGAGACAGGGCACAAGTCTCAAGTGACCCAGAAAGGTCAAACTGGGCTTGAAAGGAGGTTACCACATTTCACGGTAAAAATTCTCTGGTGACTTCTGTGAGAACGGGGAGGGATCACACAATTAGAGATGAGGAAGAAAATTCAATGAACTCACAAAGTGTTTTCCTTAACTGAAAAAGAAACTGGGAGTAGAGGCAGGGGGAGACAGAAGTGGTGGGGGAGGGTTTCCTGGGATAGGAAAGCTCAGGCTCCTGCCAGGAGGTGGGAGTGCTTCACGGGGATTTCTTTTTTGTCCTCGTTTTCTTTTTAGAAAATATTGCACATAGCCAAAAGTCACCCAGGTGAGTACACAGTGACAACTCAATCTCACTCCTACAACAGTCCCCAAATCCCTTCCCCAGAAGCTACCAGTATTTCTATTATTAGGTGTGAGTGTTTTTAAAGGGACCTAGTTATCCTAAAATGTAATACATAGGTCATTCATTTTAAAATGAGTTTGTTTGCAACTGCATGCTGTCAGGTAAATTGTTAAGGTAAAGGAAGTTCCAGACCAGGCTGCCCCTGCCACCATCACATACTGAGCGCCGGTGCCTACAAGAAATGGTGGCTGAGGACAACCTCTCCGTGACACAGACTCTGTCCCAATTTAGCAGAAACATCTATTAGTAAGGTATACTTTAAGTATCTAAATCAAAATGTCAAAAACTTTTCAGTTTCATATATTCCAAATTCCAAAAAGTAGAAATTTAAAAGTATTCAGGCTTAACCAGAAAATATCTCCTCCCAACATCAAACTTTTCTTAGACTTGTTTTCATTTTATCCATCCTTCCCATTAATGCCTATGTTCTTTTACTTTTCAAGTAGAGACCTGGTCACAGGGTATCTAACCCTTAATACATTTTTTAACTACCATCATGTAATGAAATAATAAAAGGCTTGTTTAAATCCAACCAGAATTAAGTTTTTCTCAGGTTTATTAAAAGAACAAAAGAGTCTCCCAATAGGCCTTCTAATTATTTCTGCCATGCAAGTATGAACTCATTCTCCAATTGCAGGGGACTTTAAAGTAAGCTGTCTATCTTTTATCCCACCGTTGGCAGAATGATCCAAATACCAAAAGGAGGGTGAAAGTAACTAAAATGGGAGCCAGGTATTCTGGGTAAATTCTGTGTACTTTCGCCACATATAGTAACCGCTGGCATGAATGAGTTGGATGGCATTCCAAATGTCTCCTTCCACCACTTTCCTACTTATTAAACCTTTTCCAGATAGCTATGGCCAATTAGTGCATTTCCACTCATTCATACAAAGATGGGCAGCTGCTTCATTAGACTTCATCCGGAGCTAATGCTAAAATATCTTCTCCAATGCTTGCTTTTGTAAGATTACTCAGACATCTTTATAGCTTAGTCATTTCATGCCAGAAGGAAATCTATTGTCTGAATCTACTTCTTCTTATTTTACCAACCATCTGAATTATTTCCTTTTATTTTATAAACAAATCAAGCTTAAGTCACTGTATTCTCAGACAACATGTGGATATAACTGTCCTTTGGGTCTCTGTACAAACTAGGCTCATAACCTGAATTCCACTATCTGAAAGATCTCAGGACCTGTATCATGCTGACAAATTTCCAAATCCCTCTGTTCTTCTCAGGCTCTTTATCCATCTCTTCTGGCTGTATCCCTCCTGGCAAGCTTAAAGAAATAAATCTACTTTGCTTAGCTCCTATATGTACTGATGTTACTGACAGGATCACTACAGAGATCGCTCACACTGCAAACATCAGAGCCACTTGGTCCAGCCTCACTGCCTCTCCCAAGCCTGCGTATTTGACCAAAGACCCTCACTGTCACACACACAGTTCTGTACTGGTTTCTCCATGTATCTGTTTTGGAAAATAGCTTGACAGTCTGCCTTCCTGAGGCTCCAGAGAATTATGGCAACAAACATCTTCTCAATCCTATAGACACTTATATCACATCCAAGGTCAACAGAAATAATCCAAGGTACACTGTTAGGCCAGTCCTTAAGAACAAAAGAGAATAGTACTTCTAACAATGGCAAAATTGCAATCATTATGCAAATACCTAAAGACCCGTGCTGGGGAGGCTTTCTACTAGTCCTCCATGGAGGTAGAAGAGGCTACAGACAAGGGGGAGGATTACAAGAACGAAGATTACATTACAAGTCTAAAGTGCCACGAGACTTTGGGGTTTGGGGACTTTTACCTTCAGTCTATCGGAGATATATGGACAGACAAATACACACATACACTTGGTAACTGTTACTTCACACACAAAGGGAAAAACAATCAGAAGCCCGAAAAAAAATGATTAAAATAACTTTCTTCTTAAGTACAGCCAAAGTAAAGGAAGGCAAGTGAGGAATCAGAACAACAACAACAAAAAAAGTATCCTTCAGCTGGAAATACACACAAAAGAGATACTACAAAATTTTGAAAAATTTTATCTTTCTAAACGGTGAAGTTGAATGATTACAGTTTTAAAAATTGACCCTTACTTTTATACACAAGATAGTGAACACAATGTTTGTTTTACAGCTTTCCTCATAATTTTCAGTCTTTTTCTAGGCATCCTGAGTTCAAAACTGGCTAAACAAATAAAATACCAGCCTTCTTATTACTTGGAAAGGAAAGTCAGAAGGAAATGTTATAACACTGAGTATGTATTATCCTGTTTGCTCAAGCTTTATCTTTATATAACGCTCCTCAAAGAATGGTCTTACAACATCTTTACAGTATTGGTATAAAAGGGTTATAAGGTCAAAAAGCACGCGGAAGCACAGGGTTAAGTGACGAAACTTTTTAATGTGCTAATGTGCACTGTGAATTTGCCACTAGCTCACAGCGTAGGGGGCTGATTTCCTAGTTAGTGCGAGCAAGTATTTCACTTCAGTATAATTTCAAAACCATTCTATTAAGATTATTCTGCTTTTTAGTTGAAGGAATTCATAGAAACAAACCCAGAAGTCCAGATGGTTTACATCTGTTACTGTTTTACTCTATCTTTTCCTAATCTGCTCTTTAGAGAAACGGTAGTATTTCCAAAATGTCAACGTTTCTCTCTTACATGTGCATATTGATTACATTTTTGTTTGAATTATAATTTTATTTTTAATTTTATAAATGTCAAAAAATAGTCTCACAAATACTATTTAGCTTATTAAAATGAAGGAATATCTGCTAGAATCTAATGATATTTTTACTTTAAATCTTTTGTAAAAGAAATTTCATTACTTCTGAACAAATGGGCTTTGTGTTTTAATTACAAAGACACTCATCAACATACTACAGCAAGTGAAGGAAATGAAAAGCCATGCGCCTGGAAGACATGGGCTTTCCTTCTGGACCTGGGACAAGCTATCCACCAGACAAAACCAGCAGGAACAAGGTGATCCTTCAGTCCACTGTTATGCAAGACTTCACCAGCTCTGAGGGGTGTAGCACCAAGACAGTGCCAACAAAGAGACATGGACTGGGTCCCCAGCACATGTCCAAATTTCAACTAGGTAGTCAGTCTCACAACTGTACAGGACATCTGCTATCATCCTCACTCTACGGATAAGAAAATGTAGGTGAAATG